ATGAGTTCCCCTTTGTATTTGCATTTTTTTCTGATTATTAATTGGACAGACAAGTCCCAGTCATTGGTACTTGCAGAATCCTGCTCCTCCAGGACCCAAACAATACTCATCTTGGGTGGTAGGGAGCTACAGGGGACCTTTGACCCGAGTAGCCTGGGAATAGTTTGTCAATTTGTTGCAGTGTCCTATATGAAAACTGTTTTTACCTCCACACGCATACGAAGCTTGTGACGTTAACACCTTAAAAAGACTTACTACACTAGAGCCTACCCCAGCCAACCTCTTAATTGAAGTCAGTTGGAGTTTTGCTCAATCACAGAATACCAAACCGAACCCAAAGAAAAACAGCAGCCAGATACAAACCCAGGGTAAACCAGCCTTGCTGCAGAGAAACTCATCTGTATCCAGCCTCAGCATTCCAAAGGCCAGTGTCACATGCTCTACAAAACAGCATCCATGGAGCTCCATTTCACACACAAGTTTCATCACACTATGTTGAAACTTGGAGTTGTTCATTGTAGTTATAACACGAAAAAATAGCAGGACCAGCACATTCTTATATTCCATGTCAATGAACAGGGAAGAATAGGCATAAATAGGGCTTAATGCCTATTTATGAGACTATGTGGGAGATATATACATCAGCATTGTGTATATTCTCTCCATGGAAGCATGCTAGCTGCCACTCAACACAAAAGTTTTGTTTATACAAGCAAAAGTATCAAAGTAACAGTTGACTAACCAGGACCCAGGGATATGAAAAAAGATGAGATGTTAATAAAACACTGCAGTCAGTAGGGAGAGTTACTAGAACATAATTTTGTGTAGCACATCCCATTTGATGTCACTCTAAAACTGCATTGTGAATGAACATTTTAATTAAAAAGCCAAGTTTATATTCTGTTCAATTGCTGATCAACAACTCAAGCTCAGATACTGTTTCCATCAGAATAGTTAATATGTTAAAGAACATAGAAACAGGATGTTCTTGAAACAGGAGTAGGTCAGCCCTGGTTCTATGGTTACTGGACTCCTACAGGGAGCCAGAAGCAATGAGAAACCAGTCTGAGAAATCAGGGAGATGTTTAACTTTCAAGGGGATTCACAGATTCTGAAGTCTGGCTTCTGCCTTTTTTTTTTTTTTAGCTCCTAACCTGTACCTCAAAAGGTAATCATGTGTTCAAAATCTCTTGGGCACTTCTCTTTTTCGTTCCTTTTTTTCTGTTTTCAGAGAAGTGGAAAAAGCATCTCTTGGTCATTTTTTTTTAATGTGTTTTAGGTAAGAGCACAGTTACCAAGGGCCAGCCTTTGCTACATTATACTTAACATTCCCTCACTTTTCAAAAACACAACTAGTCAGAAGTTTAAGCTGCAAACTACAGTTTCAACTACCAACTTCAGCCTGCAGAAGAGCTAACTAGCAGAGGTAACTTCTAGACTACTTGCACTGTTCTGAATCTACTACATTAAAATAGAAGGGGGCACTGTAATATAACAATATATGTCCTACACAGAGTTGTTTTATTATCCAAAAGCTGAATTTCTTTTCAGCAAAGAAGCTGTAAGAGTGACAACTCAAAAAATACAACATACAAAATGTAGAATTAATACTTTCACATGACCATGATCACTGTTACATTTTTCCAAGGATACATTCAGAACACTAAAGTATCTACCTCAGAGGAGCAGAATTTGGTTTATTCTATTTATTTTAATGCTAGTGAGAATGTCAGTGTTTATTGCTATTTATTCATATTTTGTGTATTAAGCTTTGCACGAATATATCAGAAAAAATACAACAACAACAACACAAGATTAAGCAGTTGCACAAAAGAGAGAAAGTTATTTATGGAACACAAACGTAAACTTGACTATTAAAAAAAAGATATGTAATGAAAGGTATCTTTCAAAGGAAAGCAAATGAACTTATGAAATTAAAATCAGTAAAGCAGGATTACATGAGTGTCATGGTTTGAGATAGCCCCAAAATCCAATTCCCTGGCTCCATCCCCCCTCCCACATCTCAACCCAACGTGAGATGAGTTTTTCCAGACAAAACACAACCAGACTCAAAGTGGGGGAAAGGGAATATATTACAATGACTACACAAATAAATACTATAACACATTATACACACGATCACAACTATCTCTACCATGACATATAGTATTTACAATGGATCAGATCTCTTCTCCCCTCCAAATAAAAGTCCAGGAGGGAAAGAAGGACAGATCCCTTCCAGTCTCTCAGGGTAGCAGCTTCTTCAGAGTAGCAGAAAGCAGTCTATCTCTCTCTCTCCCATGCAGGCAGCTGTTGCTGGATCTCTGCCAGCACTCACGAGGGAGGTATCCAAGCTCCCTCGGTCCCGTCGCCAACCAACCGAGGGGTCTTCTCTGGGCTTTCGTCACCCCAGACAAGGCCGTTCCACCACGGTCATATCACAAAGCACAGGGGGTCTTCGTGACGGTCTGGTATCTCCAGGAGATTCAAGCTCCTTGCAGGGCCTCTGTGCCCTGCCTCAGGCTGCCACCTTGGCAGCAGTGCGAGGGGGGAGCCAAGGTCACCCCCTCTGCATTCCTCTCCGTCCCGGTCCAGCTTCCCAGGACGTTCTGAGCTTCTCAGCTCTTCTCTGCAGTGCATGTTGCACTTCAAGGCTCTTTCAAGTAAGAGTCCATCATCTTCCTCCTTTCCAGGAGGTCTCAAAGGAGTTTGGGGGGTCTGGTATCAGTTCTTACCCCCAGAACTCCGTAGCTCTGCTGCTAGCTTCTGCTGCTTCTCTGGTCCAGGTCTTATCAGTTGGCTTTTAGCCATAACCTCTGGACGCTGCCGCCGCTTCTGCTCTGTCTCTGCTCACTCACGATGGAAAACATCTCCCAGCTCACAGCTACAGACACATAGTCCAGCTTAACACTGTTCCAAGTCTCTGTAGCCCCCAATTGGGGCTGGGGGGCCCCAGAGGCCCCGAGGGGCTCCAGAGGCCCCAAGGGGCTCCGGGCCCCTTTCCTCGTGACTCCTACAACATGGCTACTTCTTCAAACAACCCAAACTACCACTCATCTCTTCCGGTCTGGTTGTGGTATGTTTACATTTCTGCAGGAGCGCCCATTGGACAGGACTTCAAAACTTCCAGGGGTTTCCATCCCTTGGGGGTTACCACTTTTCTTAGCCTCTGGGGGAAAACAAGGTTCAAACCACTACAGTGAGGAAAACAATAATGGGGAGAAGGTCAAGAGAGACTGAGAGCACACTACTAAAGAATGAAGTTATTGTGTAGATGAACTGAATTAAACCAACTTCCAACACTAGGGCTCATTCAGAATAGAAAAGTAAAAAGTAATAAATTAAAAAGGGTGGAAGTGACTCAAATGTGACTAGCTTATAAAATGGCATACTGTGGCTCATATCTAAATATGTGAATGCAATTCAAGGCTCTGCTAAACACTGAGCTTTGACCCTGGTTATATGGCCAGGGTTTGGGGTTTGCTCAGGAGAGAGCACCAGGCAATTGTCAGAAGAGGTAGCTGTTGCAGTCTCCAGTTTCTGTCTTCCTGAAAATTAGGTTCTCTGTGCTTTCTAATCCCTACATTTCTACTGAAACAAGATTTATTTAGAAGAGGTTTTTATTAGAGCAGATTATCATAACCTGGGGGGGGGGGGGGGGAACAGGCCTTTTTTACTTACCTGTCACCAGCAGGTTCAGAAATTACTTGTTCTTATCACAGTATTCAAAGCAAGCTTGACAAAATATAGTACCAGGTGTTGTTGGATCAGTGGTCAGTGCTGATACTATCCCAGATAGCAGCACAAACAAAACAGATATATCAACTGAGAGCTGGGGAGGAAAGAAGAGAATACGATATAAGGCAGTCATTATGCAACACACTGTGAAATATGATGAAATTGCTGAACTGCTCTTTCTGATAGTTCAATAATTCCTCCTGCTGAAGAGGAAATAACATGGAATAAATTTTAGAAAGCAAGTCTTGAGTGACAAAGAAAGAAATGGTCAAACTGCAAGATAAGTACGCAGCAAGGCAGAAAACTAATTTAGCTGGAATCTGAAAAAACCAAATCCATTATGGCCAATAAATTAAGTCCTAGATTTAGTAAATACAATAGTTTGGTTTGTTTGGGCTTTTTTTTTAGGGTTTTTTTGGTAAGCCAACTTCAGAAATGCCAGCATTTACCTCTTATGTTATTATTTATTCACATAAAAGAAAATATAAAATCTCTAATATATGAAAGTGATAGGGACTTCACGTTAAAGCCCAACTACAAGCATTTTGCTCCCTGAATTGCTATGCTTTAGTAATGAGTGAGTTTCCAAAAGGCATGCACAGGGCAAGAATTCACTCAGACAATAGGACTGTTCACTTCTGAATTTGTCTTTCCCTAGAAGTCTCTCAGTTAAAGGATGCTTCTGTTCTCATCTCTAAATGCATGGGCTAAAGTCACTCACATATATAGAAAGAGAGAAGGGACACAGACTACTACAGATATCATGACTGATGAAGTTCAGCACCCAGGCAACTACTTCATACTCATAGATGTCCTCTTAGGATTGCCCAGGGTACTGTACAACCTCTTACAGTTTTATCTCAAGGCTAGGGTTTGGAAGCACCCAAGTAGTAAAGCATTAGCCCCGAAATGCTAAAACTAACAGGGGAATAATATTTGAAGGAGGACAGAGGTATTTTCATCTGCTATCCACTGCTGAGAGCAAGCGTTTAGCTCAGTGCTGAGGTCTAAGATCCTGAGAAAGATAGGCCCTTGCAGTTACATGATCATCACCTATATCAAACAGCTCAAACAAAAAAGAACGTCTCTCATGTAAATCTCTTCAGAAAATGAATAGAAAGACCTGGAAAGGTTAAAGGCTACAGCGTTTAGAGCTTTTGTTCATACCAAGGAAAAAAAGGAGACAGTGTTCAAAAGTTTTATTCTTAGGCCATTTTCAGCAATTCCCTTTTAAAAAATCCCACTTTTATGAGAACACTTACCTTATTCACAAAGTTCACAAATAGTTTCTTTCCCTCTGTGTATGCCTCTGTGTGTCTGAGAATAACAGTGAGTGTAAATCTTTCACTTGTTCTTATGTACTCCCTTACAACAAATACCATCTGAGGAGTCAAGGGGAGTCCATTTAAGGTCTGTTATGTTTCAGATTTAAACATTCCCTGACATCCCCTCTCAATTAGATTCTCACTTCAGGTATTAGACTAATAGTTGTAAGATCCTCAGATAGCGCTGGCAGCTCTATATGTATGTTTAAACAAACAACACAAACACACATCTGTGATATATCACACTTGTGTGTGTATATGTACATATACATATAAACACCTTATCAAATAGTCCAGACATCTTTTCTGTACCTGAAGATGTATATACTTACAGAAACCACATTTTATTTAGTTGTCTACTGAATCTTCTTCAGTGAGTTGCTGCTCACTGAAATATATATTTCAACAGAGCCTCAAGACAAGTGACAAATATGCTTCCAAGAACACCCATGGAGTAGTTGCTCATTTTTTTTAGATTCCCCTTTTTCTGATAGCATTGGCATTTTAGAATCCTTGCTACTACCAGGGTTCTTTGATCTCTACAATTTGACGCCACAAGATTTGCCCTCTGTAAGTTGTGAGAACTTAAAAAGGATTGTTTAAGGAGGGCAGCTCTGTGTAATTGCACATTAACCATACTTAGAATGATTATGGCTTTCTTGACATCAGAATGATGGGTTATTAGCAGTATTTTAAGGTTTCTATGCTGAGGAAATTGTAATTCCTCTCTGGATGGCAAAAAGAGTTGAATTATAGCAAAGATGAGGAAAACTAGGTTCGCTTCTGCGTTACTTAAATCAAGACTGTTGCTTATGGGATTTATGTAATGGTTAAATTCTCACTCCAGTTCTTCCCTATGGTACCAATATAGAATCTGAATCTTTCCTGTCCTAAGGACTCAGTGACAGAAATTAGAACACAAATGTCATCCAGGAAATAATAATAATAATAATAATTACATAATTATGATAAAACCTTCTGCATTAAAAAAACCCCAACAACACAACCTTCCAAATCAGTAATATGTGTGAATACACAACAAATTTTAGAAGACAGTGTTTGTGACAACTAATATGAGTATTGGATCTCCTTAGAGATATCTTCTGAGTTAAAAGATCAATAGCTCTCCAAGTTCTTATTGCATGACAGATCTGGGGGGCTATAAAAGGAGCCATGCCTACCATGTAGGCCAGCTGTCTGAAGGTAAAGCTCGTCTAGCTTTCTTTTACTCCCTGCTGGCTGCTCACACCTTCCCCGTTTTTAGCTTTTATCTTTTTCCTGACCATTACAGATGTCAATCTTATGTATTCTTTTCCTCTTTGTTAATACTTCAGTCCTTCTTCTAAAGTTGAGATTTCACTGGAAATGTAAAAATGGAAGGAACAGCCTCTTTTTCTTACTTTCCTTTAAATTTTGGTAATTAGCAAACTGTTCGCAAAGTACAGAAACCCCATAATAGCATGGACTTTTAAAAATTACTTATACAGAGTACTGCGGTGCCTGAAACCCAAATTTCTTTTATGCACTTTCTCCAGAATGTCTTGAATAACATACCCAGGTGGATGACACATGATGTCTTACCCTGATAGTATACAACTACTGGTATCAATATTCCAAATGCTATTTGGCCACTCTCCACACACAAAGATTTAAAAAAAAAAAATCCAAATTATGCAGAACTTCACTGTGCTGACTGCTGCGTATATAGAAAATTTCAGACTACCATGTTTTGAAAATAAATTTTAAAAATTGTTTAAATTCCTTTGTCGTACTCTAATAAATAAACATTATTCTTCTTATTCCAGACCTGGGTATTCTCAGTACTTATTTTCTGTAACCATTGAATTGGAAGGAATCAAAACTCAAAAAAAGATCAATATCAATTGACTGATGAGTTTTTTTCCTATTCCCTTCATTATAACTTGAACAGAACTTTTGATCACTACCAAATTTCTAAAGGGAATACCATTTCAATGTTAAGACTAATGAGACTAGTTTAATCTCATCCCTATAAACAAATCAGCTTAAGCCTAATGAAATCTTATTTTTGTAAATTAATGCACAAAGGAAACAGTTCAGGGTAAACAGACTTGTAGTATACATTGTTTAGAGACTATTGACTTTCGAATTAGCCTGCTTTTCAAACATTTCACGTCAAAAATATAGTCAAAATGCAAATGTAGCATAAACGGCTCTATAATAAATGCTCATTCAACATTTATTCTTTCTCAAATCATCTTTTAAAGCTCTTTCATGCTAATGTCTAGAAGATGTGACATTAGAAAAATTGCTTTGACATGCTAAGGGGCTCCAAGATTAACAAAAAGAGAAAGAACAAGATAAAGCTTTCAAAAGACCTATTTCAGAGGAATTATTACTTCCTTTGAAAGTCTTCCAAGGTTGCAGTGCATTTAAGCTTGTTGGCATACATGTAAATGAAGGACTACAAAAGTATTCCACTAAATACAACTTGAATTAAACCTTCAGGCTAATGTTAAGGAATGAGGATAAAGGCCAGATCCTAGGCTGGCAACAACTCATTTAAATTAAAATTCTTTATTTGAGGACTCAAGTAAGGGAGATTTATTTTTTTTAATCAATACAAGAAATTATAAATGTAATTCCCATATAAAATGGCTTGGACTGATGGACCTTTCTGATTGAGCAACTAGCATTCTAAAGAGGTATAGTAATGCATTGATCCATACTGTAAAATAGAAACAGTGTCTCAACCAAGAAGTTACTCTCCTTATATAGAAACGTCCCACTCCACCACCACAAATTCTTGATTTCACAGCTAAAAGGCAATAGGGATGGGTTTTACTTCTAAGCATAAAGCTGTGATTTAACCTTTCTAGTCCTTTGAGATCCAAGGGAATGTTACATGCAGTTACAACTTTCTCTTCAGTGTTCATTGGGAAACATCACACAGTAACATCCACTCAGTTGCAGAGGTTTGTATTATTTGTATAAATTGACCATCAACCCAATTATACCACCCTTCTCTAGGCAGAACTGTTCAAGAGTTTTAGACTGATGACAGACTGTAGGATTAACTACACAAGGCCAGAGTTATAAACAAAGGAACGAACAGGTGCATTCCAGAAAGGACCAAAAGTATTACGTTTAATCATTACTTTGCTACTAATGTTCTTAATCTATTACACAAAACCATAACCTACTCTTGCCAGTAGGTTATGTCCTCTTCTCTCACTGCCTTCCACCATTCAGACTTTCCATGCTGGTTGTACCTGTCCACCCCTAAAAAGATCCACTTGTATGACTGGTGACATTGTCTGCTACTGTTCTCCTTGCTTTGCAATCTCTCTTATACCCATATTTAATTCACCGTGTTTCTGTCTCATGAAAGGCATTGTTTCTCAGAGTAATAAAAGGCCCATGGCTTGAAATCGGACCAGGGTAGACCCAGGAAAGGCCAGACAAGGAAGAAGAGGTCTGGTACTCGACGGAGTTCTTCACCAAAATCTGTCTTCTAGTGAAAGACACAATAACATATGTCTGTAGTGAAAACCCAGCCAGGTGTCTGGTCTATACAGATGAGCCAATTCCTACTCCATACCTCCATTAAATGACATACCACATTAACAGGTACATTTGCAGCTCTGCTTCCTCATAAATTGCAGTTTGTGCTATCATAGTTTTGATGTCAGATCAAGAATTACTACCTCAAAAGAACCACATCACAGCAACAGCAACTGTATGAGACAGTGCTGCAAGAGTGATCACAATTTTCTCTAAGCAGGCTGCTTTGGAAAAATAGTTTATTAGCATTCTAAGTTTATGTGAATGTTGGTAAGAATTTATATCAACAATATATGGCAGAATACTTAGTGATGTATCTGCAGGAAAATGTGGTTTAAGAGAAACAACTATATTTTCTTTTTCTGAAATATCACAAAAGCATATGCCTCTTACACTGCTCAGTCACCTGTAAAATCTCTCCAGTTAGCACCTGCATTTCCTACAGCTACCCAGTCACAACTTCACTTGTCAGCGTGAAATCTGAGTTTGGGGAGTTTTTTAAGGGTCTCACCATCTCACTATTCACAAATGTAGATACACTAGAAAGTTAATTTATTACTACAGCAAGTCTTAGATGAACTTAAATCATGCAACTTTCAATCAGTAGAATCACACACAGCAATGGCCATGTACAAAGCTGAGCAGGCATGAAGTCAGTGTTTAACTAAGTCTTCACCTAACTTAAACTGCCAAGAGATGTCAGTGCAGATATCTAAGTGATGTGTCCAATTAAAAAATAAAACAAATATGTCTCCAGTATTACAACATAATTCAAACTTTGAAATATTGACCACTGAAAGTGTTATTGTGGCTTAAAAATGAGATAATTCTTCTCTACAAAATTGTGTGTTCATATTGTCTTGCAGACACCTTCAAACAGACCCAGTCATATACAAGCAACAAAAAGAGAACCAAAAAAATCTGCCTCATTTTAGCCTTACACTTTTTAATTCCCCACAGAAATATCATGTGATATAATTAGGGAATTTTAGATGCAACTCTATAGATTCCTTTTTCTTAGCTCACTTTCTCTCAAGGGAGAGGAGAAAAGGTTCCTGAGATGAATGTAAGGCTGTCAGCATTTGCTTTGGTTGCACTCATATTCCACCTGAACACTGAACCATGAAAAAAATGAAGCTCTTTGATGCAGGCTTCCATTCATCTGCCTGTAACAAAATGTCTGGAGCAAAACATCTTCTAAGCAGCTCATTTCCTATATGGGTAGTTCACTTGAGACTTTGCTGAGCAGGGAATTAAAAGAGATCATCTCCATAAAAATCTGCCTTGGTTAGTAGCTTTGATGGGCCCAATAAATTTTGTAATAGAAATTTTTTTTAAAAGGTGGCTTCCTTATTCCTTTCATGCATAGTGATTAAATTACAAGGAAACACTTTAGAATACATCATATTGCACTATTCACTCCCCCCACAGATGCAGAACAACTTTTGCTGATACAAATCATCATGTATTAATATGATATAAAGTGGCTGATTGATACACACTGTAATGAGTGGACAGGATAGGGGTCCTGGAAAAGGAGAGCAAATGCAGTGCAATCCAAATATTCAGTAATTCACCAGCTGTATGTCAGTGTTTCTGACAAAGCTGCTGCTGCTCAGGTGTGAGCCCCCATCGAGTACAAATTGTGTGGGGAAAAAAAGTGGTCTCCTGCTTTCTCTATTGTGTGATCTCATCCCACACTACATTCACTTTGCCAGACTGGTATTCTAGAACCTCTCAGCAGAAAAGCAGTCCTTTTGTAGTTGCTTGATCTAACCCTTATATTATCAAGCTGACTCCACATATCTTTGGGAGAACTCCTGTCACCTGGTCAAGCAGTAACATCTGCATTAGATCCCATTAGCTCTGGATTGCAGACACAGAGATCAACTGGGTCTCACTAAACTGCTTTTTGATTTGTTTTCCCTTAAGCTTTTCCAAAAGGCCTCAGTACTGCATTAAATATTTCAGTCCAAGATGAAAACACAAGGACAGAATCTCAGCCTTATTATCAAACTGGAGTTTGCAGCCACATGCAAAGATATGTACAGCTCAAACAGAATTTATGAACTTAGATACTAGATACTTAGATACTAGAAGTTATCAAAGTCTAAATTCACTCTGGCCACAACTTTCATTGCATACTTTCATCCCAGTACATTCTTCCTGCAACAACCATAAAAAGTAGCAATGTGGCAGGCATACTTTTATATGCTACCAACACCTACAATTAACACCGTTGTCACTGGTGGTTCTACTCACAACTTCAGCACATTATGCTTCTGGGCTTAGCCCCTGTGCCACAAACTCTCCTGCACTCTTGGGATCCACATGTTCCTAATTACATTTCCACATGCCAACAAATTCTTGTGGCTATTACAGGTCATCAGAAGGCACTTTTTCCACACATGTAGCCATGTTATTCTTTCCTAAATCAAACAGTCCAACAGCGATCTGGTATGGTTCAGCTATCCTTCACAAGCCACAGAGAAATGTCTTGGAAATCAGGACAGGGTGCTCAAATTTTAAGTATCACTACCCTTGCAGGGTATTTTTGCAACTCATCTATTTTCAAAATATAATAAAATCAAAATAAGTGTCATTGTTCTGCACTTAATTTTTGGTCAAGCTTCATTTTAGGACTGTGGAAATCTTTGTACCTACTAAACACATGCCTTTTTCTGTTTCAGTTTAGCAAGAGTTGATGTGTTTAAATTTTAATAAGTATACTTAAAGAATACTTGCAATCAAATATATTATGATATCAAAAATATTATGATACTTCGACCTGCAAATCATTTGATTGTAAAAAAAAGTCTACTTTCATAAGTACTAAGGTAGAACACCCCACAAAAATGCTTGGGGAAATCAACTTTTTAAATAGAAAGCAATTCAGATCTGGGAAAAACAAAAGTGCACTCTGCACTATGATTTAGAGAAGTTAGTCTTTTACTCCTCTAAATTCTGTCTCGGATACACAAACAGGATCATGTAGGACCAACATCCAGATGCTGGGTACCAAGAACTCCATAATCATGTCTTTATTTTTAAGACTGACACATACAGTGCTTTCATCTCTGGGTGCTACCTATTTTTCCTAATTAGTAGTTTGAAAGAGAATGCCAGAGTTTTGTAATGCAGAGGGAATGCTTTTTTCTCATCTCAGTCTGTTCCAAATGTCCTGTCGAGTAGCAGGAATCTTTGAAGTTGTTCCGTGACTCTATCCCTTGAATCACAATGTGTATAAATGCTGTTACTCATGCTTACATTTGGCTTCTATTTTCCCTGCTTCTTGAAGCAGGCAGTTATTCATCCATTATAAAACATTCTATGTCCATCCCTCACAATGGTCACAGAAAAATTAAAACCTGAGAACTCCTTATTTAAAATATAATTAGACTGCACATAGTATAAAACTTCCTTTTATCTGGAAAGCAGCAACATCATCTTAAGCACAGAATCAATTAACTGCATGACACCCTTCTGATTCAGCAGCATAAGCACACTAGCCAGTGCAACAGGTCTCCTTCCATGGGACACCAAGCAAGAGTAGCTCCCTGTCTCTCAATATCTACACACAAACCTTGCTCTTCACCTACCTCTCAACAGCCCAGGCTGGAAGAGACCTCAAGAAATCACCTGCTCCAACGTTTACTTGAACAGTTGCAGTGTCTCTCTGAACAGATATCACTTTTTTAGACTTTCTTGCTGGTAGAAGCAAGTATGGCTTAGACAAGGGAACAGTGACAGAGTCAGCAAAGTTCTTGTAAATGCAGGGCTTTCCCCATCCATTAGCCCACATTCATCAACTTCAACGCTGGCTGTTCATTTAGATTAGAATTTGCAATGGCTGTTGAAGGACTGGAAGGAGTCTCACAGCTGTCTAAGAAAAAATAAAGTGAACTTCTCAGCTGCCCATGTTGGTGGACAAGCGTATGGATCACAAGAGCTGTGCAGTTAAACTCAGAAAATATTTATTCTTTGCTAGAGCTTCACTAGAACAGGTTAGAGAACATTTTATTCACCTTTCCTCTTAGAATCCCAGATGAGTAGCGGTAAAAAATTCACCCTGCTGCATTGTGTGCCAGAAGAATTTCCAGTCATACACTCTGACTGGCACGTATCAGAAACTCTAGTAAATACTTTCAGAGGCCCACCTAGTAACACTGCTTAGACAGATTTCCTGTGGCTCAGCATGTTATGTTTTCTGACAACTGGCACAGAATTCTCATTTTCTAGTAAAATTTTAAATAAGGCTTTTGCCTACCCTAAATATTTTTCTGACTAAAACTTCTTCCTCAGGCAACTGTTATATTTTAGTCCTAACTAAAAATATGGTACAACCCTAAAGAATTGAAATCTGCTTTACTGTTTAAGGCTTGGAACTCCAAAAACTCTGCTGTGCACAACAGTTAAACTCTACACAGTTTATACCCCTGGCTAGAACTGTTTATACTATTTCGTGATGAAGACAAAATGAACCAGGCAGAAAAGCATAAACTACATCAGCCTTAGAGCAGGCAGAGTTAGTCATTGGCATCTTGTTTGCCTGAAATTATCATTTTGTCTTTTTGAAAACCACACAGTATTATAAATCAACAAGCAACATAACATGCTGTCTCTGACCTTTCCTCACTAGACTAACAGCTTTATTTTAAAACATCATTGGAACCACATTTATATAATTTGCATGAGAGGAAGAGCAAACCAAACAAATACAGAAATTTACATGCTTTGAAAAATATATTTGGATTACTTTTCCTGACAGTTTTTAAAAGGAAAATGGAATGGCATAAGCTCAGCATCATAAAAACAGATAGTTCAAAACCAGAGAAACTGAAGTTTCCACTGCTAAAAATGGAAATCAGTAACAATTAAAATTGTTGCTACTATGCTTGTAGATTTTTAAAGTCCCAAATTAAATTTCAGTGTCACAGTGAAATTTGAAGCATTTTGTAATTAGAGGTATTATAGTATAATAGCAATTTTTCCACTCTGCAATGTGTTTCCACACACAACATTCTCTTGAAGCGAAAGCTATCACACGTAGCACATAACTCTTCCTGAGAAAGAAGAACTCCATTTGTTGAGAAACACTCAGACTTGTCACAAAGCACTACCATTTACACTTTAGTCTTCTAAATAAACATTCTGCCTTCATTCTGCACCACTTATGGTATAATTAAACAGCCCTTGTCTCTTGTCCAAACATCCACTGGAAGACTTCAAACAGCAAGAGAATAAGTTGACTCTATGAGAGTGACAATGTGCAACAATAGTGGAACAAAATCTTCTTCCTTCCTCCTGACAACATTGGAGTTCCTACAAAATGTGACATTCTGCTCTTTCAGGACTAGATAATGACTAATCTTTCAGCTTGATCAACTGTGTCTTGCAAGAATGAAAAAAACTTCCCACTCCCGAACAATGTTTTTAGTGTACTGGGAAAGCACCTCCAGGTCTAAGAGCAAGCACAGAAAAGCAGCCTTCTTCATCCTGGTTTTCTGATACTTAGTCCCAAGCTATCATTCTTTCGGGTGAGTCAAGTCTCAAAGTGTTCCTCTGTAGACACTCCAAGAACTGAAACAAAATCTCCTATATTTGTAGATGCATCTCTGCAAAGACAGATAAAGCTGCCAAGGTAAACCAGTTTGACTGTTTCACTCCAGCTGCAGATGCACCATCCTGTTCATGCTCTCAGCAGGTTCCACGTGCCAACAAACTGCTTCAGAGAGTTATCAGGTGTTGGAAGGAATCATAAGAGTTTTTTAAGCTGGACCACAGTTCCCTCCAGGTACAAGTGACATCCCACAGTGTACTGTGGTGTCATCTGAAAACCTCAGGTACAAAGCTCATAAGGAAACTTAGCAAAGCACTGTCAATATGCTTTCTACCAAACACTGCTGGATAAAACATAAGCAAACTAATCTGATGGAACATCCCCACCTAGATAATGCCTGCATGTACAGAGTGCAGGCATTCAGTATTCTTAGATTTCATACCAGTACAGGGGAAAAAAAGTAAATCTGTGGCTCTCAATGGTGCCGATACTTTGTCAAATAAGCAAGGCTCTCAGAAATTAAATTCTAAACAGTAATATTTTTTGCCTTTTCTATATAGAAGAAAAAAACACAAACAAACAAGGAATAAACACCAGAAAAGTTGCTGAATGAGCCTCTAAAAGTTCTTGAAGAAACTAAGCCTCATATGTTTGATACTCACACTCAGATGATATGTGTAATATTTACAGATCTGGTCAATAAAGATTCTAAGTAGAACAGAGAGCATTGGCACATTGCTTGTTTAGACTAAGATGATGTTTTGCTCAGACCCTTTACCCAATCATTTTCATCTTAAAGTGTAAATACCACTTAACCATGGTCACGGACCACTGGAACACCAGAATTCTTTGACTAGCCAGTAGTTCATGTGACAAAGGACGGATGTGGTCTCTGAGCCAACTATTGTTACATAAAGATTTATGGGCGGTTTTTTTCTACCCTAAAAGAAATCAAGCTCTTAATTTGCAAAAGCTTGACACAAGCAAAGTATCATTAGAATCTCAGAGCATTCATCTGGAATACATTATCCAAACAACAGATACTATAGCAATGGGTCAAGTCAAAATCTTACCAAGACAGAAGTTTCATGATGGTAGAGAAATCAGGGATATTTCTTCATCATCCCTGAGAAGAAGTAATTTGCCATGATTTCCTAAATTTGTAAACACACCAAGTATGATTTCAAATCCATTCCTTATAAAATCCTGTGGTCTGGGAGTACCTTGTCTTCCTTGTTACTACTATGCTGCATCTGCAGCTTCATTATTTCTGTGCTGTTTTATTTTTCCAGGACTCCAAAGCAGAAACGTACTCTAAACTTTTATGATGCTTCAGAAAACCCCACTGCCTTTCCTTTTTCAGAAGAATGGTCTTTGTGGTCACTCATTTTTTCATTTTAACAGCAGTTGTGAACACATTCCATAAAATACTTCAACCATAACAAATTTGTGGTCCAGATATACCTTATTCATTTTGATCCTTCATCCATGTTGATAAGGATTTAATCACAGGAGTAATCCCCCTGGTTTGTTTGAATGACCTTGATTATCTGGACTCTAAATGTGTAAATACCTGCATGTAGATCTCTTTAGTTTACAGTAAAGTGCCACAACTTGACTTATTCTCCGAATTTCTATTTGAATGGTGATTTCATTTCCAACATGGTATTACTTTTTTCCTAATTTTTTTGTTGTGCCAGAGTAAAAGAAAGCCTTAAAACAGCAAAAAGATGGTAGGTAAAGGAAAACAAACTTGCTCATATCAGGTGATGCACTGGAGAGTTCAAAAATGTGTAAACAGAACACGGGAGGAGAGGCAATAGTACTTTGACACTGGAAAATGTAATAAAAATAAAAGCATTTTACTGTAAAGTTTAACAAAAAAAAAGATATTGCATAACCTGGGAAAGATTTCTGAACAGGTAAAGGTTGTGAGGGGATGCTTTTTATTGTACATGTTTTGCTGGCAGTTACCAATTTTGAGAATATAAATCATTAAGAAGGTAGTTTAAAATTTCAAGCAGCGTATGGTCAAATACACTGCGCCTTTGGGAGGATCTGATGTACAAGGTTACTCATGATTTAAATAACACTGGCAGTGATACTTTAGGTACTTTAGGTACTTCATGTGACCTGCTAAACCAGATTGGCATTCAAATTACCCCCTGCATTTTCATTTTTGTAAACGGGATTGAGTGAAAGCCAAACTACACAGAATGACAACTAGAATCAAGTTAGTTAATGGAGTGACTAAGCCAAGGATGTTTATGTAATTTTGTTATGTAAATGTTAATATGTGAAAAGCATTAGCTAATGATAACTATGGCACAGTGGTACTTCCATTCATTCTACAAGATTATTCTCAATACTGCAAATAACAGCTGAAAAAGCTCATTTAGTACAAGTTATTCAAGAGCTGTACTTTTGAATCCTAAAACTCCAGCCATATGGCACTGCAAAGAGACAAAGTATTTTCCTTAGAACACTATAGTAATGAACAGCTATTCATATGTCAGTAAGGAATTATGTTTATCTTATATGTGAGCACTATACAGAAAAATAACTCATTTCCATGAAAATAAAATAGTACTAAACATATCATATCTATATCAGCAGCCATTGATCTGAATCTCCTTAATTGTCATGCTAATTTAAGCCTCAAAACACAGTCCTCCTTTACAGTAATTCTGTGAAGCAAATGGAGAATCTTAGTCACGAAAAATGATGAAGTGATGATTATCTTTTTCACTCAAGAGAATAAGTTTAATAACTTCCCAGTCCTTGCCTTTCATGAATAAAAATAACAATCATCACCAGCTATAAGTAAAAATCCTAATTTCCTACCATGCCTATAAGCAAAGGGATAAAATAATGAGAAAGCAAAGCAGACACTTCTGTGGTAAGAAGATAGAAGACAATCCACAATCCTATACAGTAGCACAGCTGATAAATGACTATCATACCGTAGTCCTTTGAGTAATTTTCTTTAGGATGACAAAGTACTGCTGCTGAATTCACAAAAGAGGTAGTTTGTCCACTGAATGCAGATATATCATTTAAAATGACAGTATAAGCTCAGCATAAAGGTCTGTGAATACTATTTGCAGTAGAGCTTTGTAGAGATTTGAATTTCTAGTTTCAGCAAATGAAGTGATTGCAAATAATAGCAGCTTTTCTAGTGTATAGCATGTGCTTGGGTCTTTGAATTAATTGCTTTGCTTTTGTAAATGTTGTGGCATAGTAAGTGGTATAACCAAGAAAGCCAAATGTTCAGAAAGGGAGGAGGGAGGCAGTTGAAAATTACAAGCTAGAAATCACTCTTATACCATCCAGGAATAGACAGTGGGATGTACAGTTACGTTAAAGGTGATGAGAAAAGCAGATAAGGTAAGAAATGCACTGCATCGTTTAGGAAAGGACTGTGGGGTGGCTACACTGCAAACAGAGAGTATGTAAGCAGGCATCTCCTTTGTCAGCAAGGCTGAGCTTACATAATTATTTAGCCCTTTCCTTGTTCACACTTCATATTCATTTCCTACCTAATAGTGCCGAGAAAGAGAGGTAGACAAGAAGCTCAAGAATTCTAATAACACAAAGCCCTCAGCTGCTTGTTTAATTTCACTCGAGTTTTGTGGCAGTCACCGTATGCACTTACCCTAAATCAAATGCTCCTGCTGTGCACAGTGCCAGTACTTACAAGATCAAAGCCTTACAATAGACGATGTGAGTTAGTAAACTTCTAAAATATTGAAATTGAAATGGGACACTTTTTTAGCAATCTCCTAATTTCCAAAGTAAGCTTTCTGTTTACCATCTGCATCCACACACCCCCCACCCCCACTCACGCATAGATATATTCAAGGTCTTCCATTACATTATGTTGTGTCAGTGTTGCTATGGCTGAAACCTGGCGGTAAAACATACACACAGTGCTGTAGAATTATTGTTATCCACCCCATTATAAGTGAAGGACTTCTTACACACATTGCAATAGGTATTTCAGGACATATTTGCAGGATGTTCCACAATATCCATGGCACTGGGAGCTTCCATTACTGGAGATGAGCAAGCAAGTTCAGCCGACAGACTGTGCCTGCTTAACTTGAATTATTTTATGCTTTGTCATTAGTTTTGCTTTGCTACATCATGCTACAGATAAGTTTATTTAAATATGTAATTAGTATGAGTTGGATTCCATGATCCCCTTGAGTCTCTTCCAACTCAGGATATTCTATGGTTCTACCTCCAAATGTTCCATGGCAGCAAAGTGTCAACAAACAAACAACTCCTACAACTGTGACACAGGCAAAGGGAGACATCAATTCTGACAATGTTCTCCCAAAACACCAAAGGGAAAAAGGTTTTCTAATGTAGAGGCATGTGTATTAAACAAGTCAGTTGTGTTGTATCACTTGAACGTAAAAGTTTTTCATTTTACTCTATTTTTTTTAAGTCCGTGAAACATACCTGAGTTTTCTATTGAAAGCTTTGAATGGTCTTTGATTAAAGTGTGAAAATCAATTGTAGGCATGAAGAAACACCCTTCATAGAAAGGGGAAACTAGACATTTGGTCAGTAGCCTGATTTAATAAAACAGCGGTAAAATAGTGGAACCAAAAGGAACTGACATAACTAATCTTTTAATCCTGTCTTCTTCTTCTTCTATCCATTTGTGTATAGAATAAAGGGGGTCAACAATAAGCCATAAAAATGCATATGTTGCCCAGCAGGGTTTCAATTTTGACCTGTCTCATGTGCTATGGAATCGAGATTCTCATCTTTCAATCTGAAAGTGGTCGAACTGTTCTATTTATTTCCAACAAGCTGTAGTTCTCTCTAGTACAGGTCACTGTTGGTATATTTCCAAAAAAAACAGAAACAAAACAAAAAAACTAAATAAACAAAAAACCCCCCCATAAAACAAAACAAACAAATACAAAAACAGAGTTCAAAATAAAGAAACAGGTGGAAACAAATAATGCAGAAGTATCTCAAACACCAACCCACAAATGCAAAACCCTGTGTTTTAGTACCTATATAACAGATTGGCAGTTAACTGGATAAATCTGCATAACTTTTCAAGTCAGAGAAAAGTCTTTAAAGAGTTACTCATAGTAAAAATTTAGGTCAGTTAAGTCTTGAATATTGTACATAGAAATAGTCTTGTCTACTTGGTTAAAAGCTATACAGTACAGTGTTAATAAAATTCAGAACCCTGCTTCTCTTGCCGATTTTATCTCCAAATTATTACTACTATTATCATCATTACACCATCATTGTACTAACTGAAGCTTATTTTTCATTAACTCCCAAGTTTATTCTCTTTTTTTTCCTGAAGAGATTGCTCCATGGAATAATTTTGTTCAGCTGATTAGCATTTGCTGTTGTTTGAATCATGAAAACATTCATTCCTGTAAGCCACTTTAACCACAAAAAGCAAACTAGTTACAGCATTGACCTTCAGCTCTGCAAACAGTTCGGCAGTTTCACAGAATTAATATATAATTACTCAGCCTTTTCCAGAAGCATTTCCTACCATCTTCTAAATCAATTTATCAGTGCCAGTTTGGGTTTTTTTATATAGCTGCAGAAGAGGTAAGCATCTTCTTTCAAACTGAAACCAATTACTCACTTTTCTCCATTTAAATTTTTAAGCTATTTGGAGACTGAGCTCTGCTAGTCTGTTAGAAATTCTGCTCTAAACATGCAGATCTTGGGGATAATCCTGTGCAGAGCTAAGAGTTGGACCCGATGATCCTTGGGGGTCCCTTCCAACTCAGAATATTCTGTGATTCTGTGATCCATTTCCCAAGAAAG